CGCGGCGCGCGCGCGTGTAGCCTCTCTGTGTCGATGCCCGGGGGTCGTTTCGCGGGCCCTGGGAGGCGTGCGTTCGAGGAGGCCCTCGGCGGCGACGGCCACACAGCCGACCTCAGCCGTGGACGCCTCAGCTTCGGCGAGCGCTTTTATCTCCACAAAGTGTCCCAACGTCTCGAGCTCGACGTGCTCGGCCTCCTGCTTCCGCGCCGCCTCGGCCTCCTGCGCCCGTCGACGATGATGTCCGGCCTCGAGCGCGCTGGCTCGACGACGAAGGGGCTCCAGCGCGCAAATTCTTCGAAGGCCGTCCCGCAGGACGTCGTCGCTCGCTGGAGCGACGTGCGGGTCCTGCGCCTCGCCGGCGCCGACGTCACGAGCGGCGTCGATCGCCGCTACGCCATGACGCTCGTGAGCGCCGGGACCGCGCTCGCGCTCCACCTCACGCGCCCGAGCCTCATCTCGGCGCCCGGCGCGACGGACGCGTCGTCGAAGCTCGCGGTTCCGGTAGTCGGGGTCGCGCAGGCGGGCCCGCGCCGCGCGGCGTTCGACGCCGGCGCGACGGTCGTCGAGCTCGCGACGCGCTTCGAGGCGACGCAGCTCCTCGAGGCCGTCGGCGCCGCCGGGACGGACGCGCTCGATCTCGACCTCGCGGACGTCGCGACGCAGCGCTACGTCGCCGAGCTGCTGCTCGACCCGCGCTTCGAGGACTTCGTCCGCGACATGGGCGACTTCGTGAACCGCCTGCGCGCGCCGACCCGCGCCGCCGCGAGCCCGCGGGAGTCGGGGCCCGCCGACGAAGACTCGGTCCTCGCCTGAGATGGGGCCGCGGCGCCGCTTCCGCCCCGCGCGCTTCCGCCCCCGCGCGCTTCCGAAAGCACAGACACAGGGTAACACTAGGCGCGCGAGCTCCCGTAGTAGGGGTCGACGCCCTGCTTGAGCGGCGTGTAGTCGTCGGCGTCGCCCGGGGCGAGGCGCTTGCCGCGGCGCCGCGCGCCGCGCGCCGCGAAGCACGCGGCGCCCGCGGCGACGAGCTGCGCGAGGAGCGCGTACTGCCAGGGCGCGACGGCGTCCCACCAGGGGTCGTCGGGCGCCGCCGCCGTGTCCGCGGCGGCGCCGCCGCCGCCGCCCGCGGCGCGCGCCGCCGCCGCCGCGACCGCGACGCCCAGAAACCGCGCGCCGATGGACGACAGGTGGACGCCGTCGTCCTGGACGCGCGCGCAGTCGCAAGTTTCTGGATAGCAGGCCGTCGCCGCGTAGGCCTCGCAGTTGGTGACGAGGTGGCCGTACAAATCGTTGACGACCACCTCCGGGTACTTTCCCGTGGGCCCGAAGAGGTCCGCGGCGGCGGCGTTCGCCGATATGACGTCCGCGTTCGTCCGCAGGTCCGGGTCGTAGGACGGCGGCACGGGCGTCGTCGTCGCCCAGATGGCCGTGCCGTTGGGCCCCAGGGCGCTCCGGATCTTCCCGTAGAGCGCGTCGAGGTTGCCGCCGTAGTCCGTTACCTCGGCGTACAATCGCGGCGCGACGTCGTGGAGCCCCCAGTTGAAGTGGACGACGCTCCAGTTCGTCGCACCGAGCCAGCCGTCGACGCATGCTAAAAGGCCGTAGGACGTGCCGCAGTAGCCGTCGGCGTAGGCGTCGGCCTTGTACACTTTCGCGTTCGGCGCCGCGAGCGCCGCGGCCGCGGCCGCGTACTGGCCCGAGACGGAGTCGCCGACGAGGAGCGTGTCGTAGGCGTCGAGATCGCCGGGCACGGCGGGGCACTTGGGCACGCAGTCCGTGTCGTCGTAGGCCGCCTCGAAGTAGTAGGACACCTCGAGCGCGGCGTAGAAGACGAGCACCAGGCCCGCGAAGGCAAAGGCGAAGCGCAACGTGGGCGCCCATTGCCGCCCGTTCGCCGCGGGCCGCTCGTCCTCCGGGTCGTCCTTCTTGGTCGCGGCGCTGGCGTCGTCGTCGCGCGCGCCGAAGAGGTCCGCGCGGAGGAGCCGCCGCGCCGCGGCGTCCGCGGCCGCTAAACCGCCGGCGACGAGCGCGGCGTCGAAGAGGAGCCAGAGGTAGTAGCGGACGAAGGAGACGCGGAGGAACTTGAGGAACGCGTTCTCCTCGTCGCCGACCTCCTCGATGGATTGCTGGGCCTCGGGCACGTCGCCCGCGCGGTAGTCGAGCACCTGGGCAGGAAAAGGGTGCGAAATTCCCAACTTCAAAGGCTCCTATCTCGGTCGTTTTCCGCTCGTTTCGGCTGATTTTTGGACGAGCGATCATCTCTCGGAGCGCTCTCGAAGCGTGGGTGCTGTTTCCGAAACGCGCGCGCGCGGAACACTCACGTGAAGCGACGTTGAATCACCCTTTTCCTGCCC